TGGTCTCGGATGGCGAAAGGCATCGAAACACGCGAACAGGGACAGGGTTGGCGACGGTACGACAATGTACAACGCATGACTTGACCAAGGATCGGAAATACGCGGACAGACGGACAGGTAGTCATACAGACACACAAACATTTCAGGAGGCCAGCAGGAAAACAGGTTCTTGGGTGCATGGATGGTATATCCTTAAGTCTCTGGGCCCTGTGGGTGGGTTTCACCAAATCCAGCACACATACACACATACACACATACTCACACACCACACCGAATATGTCACACACACATACACACATACACACACATCACACCGAATATGTCACGTACACACATACACACACATCACACCGAATATGTCACGTACACACATACACACACATTACACCGAATATGTCACGTACACACATACACACATACATGGGACTTTGCGTTTCCTTCCCCTTCCCCTCGCTTTTCCACTTCCCGAAAGGCAAAACCCCGACAAACGTTTTTTGTTTAATTAAACCTTAAGCCTTAAAACAAGGTGAAACAACAATCAGAAACTCCCATTTTTCAACCCAAAGGGCTCCTCCCAGGAGCGCCAAAGAAGCCCTCCTTACCAGCTCTTTGCGGACGTGTTCCAACAGTGTTAATCGTACGGCAGGGTAGATCTGGATCACGCGTGACAGGTCCGCGAGCCGCAGCTCCCACAGCTCACACGGCAGCGCGGCGCGGAGCGTCCAAGGGCGATGCCTGCTCATGACGTCATCAAACGACAATCAAACGGCACAATCAAATAACACATTACAACACGGCTCACGATCCAATACAATCCGATGCATCAAGAGGAATCCATGCAGATTTACAATTGGCGCACCCGTATGGCCATGAGCATTCATGTGTGCATGTGGCCCTAGGGACCCCTCATGGCTCGTACGGGCCCCTAGGTTACACCTTCGGGGAATAACGCAACGCAAGGTGTAACACACACACATACACACACATACATACACATACATACACATACATACACATACATACACACATACACACATACACACGCACATGTGTGTGCAACGTTGAGCACCGCAACATGGCCACAGGGATTGTGGGTTCCCCCCACCAGCACTCACTCTCCACACCTTCCCACCTGCATTGCGGTATGTCGATGGCCAGTATCAGTGACTCGCCCACCAGGGCGGGTGCCCCCACATGCTGGGCGCCCTCCTTGTGACGTAACGCCACCAGCTGGCCCGAGTGGAGCAACCACAACCGGTCGGCCTCGTCACCCTGACGGCACAACTCCTGGCCTGAGGGGTGTGCGTGGGGATAGCACCCGGTGGGGTGAGGGGGCGGGGTAGTGGAGTGGAGTGGAGGATGATGTTGAAGAGAAAAACACATGGAATCCGAAGGTTGAGGCTGGTCGGAGGGCTGCTGAGCAAAACAGCGGAACATGCGGTACGGCGGATGGCGTGGGGTCGCGCGTCTTTGCGGTGGCACCAGCGAGGGGAGGAACAGCGGGAAGGAGCGGGGCAATGGGAGTAAAAGAGCATCCGAGCCCGGGCCCGCCTCCTGGTCCTTCCCCCCAAGAAAACACAACACATACCTACAGACCAGGGAACCTATGAACCCACCTATCCCCTCCTTTCCGAACGCGCCTCTCACACCCCAATTTACACTCTAACGCCGGTCAGTATCCCGTTCTTCCCCCTCAACATTTCCCTTTCCCTCTCGCATATCCCCTTCTCCTCTTTCCCTCTCGCACATGATTTCCCCCCCTTTTTGGCACTCACCCACCACCGCTCTCAAGGGTCTCAGATGGGCGGCGATGAGCTGCTGGGCGTCCTTATTGAGGTTCCGGAAGGCATGGACCCTCTGAACCAGAGGTAGAGCTAGGTCGCCGGCAACCTGGGGACAAGACAATCAACAAATATGGGGGGGGAAGGAAAGAGGGGAAAAGGGGGGAAAGTTGAGGCGGATTGGGATGACAAGGAAAAGGAAGTCGCAGTCCACGGGTTGCAAAAACCAGCCCGGGTTACACGCGGTGTGTGTTGGGTGGTACTAAATGTACCCTTTTCGCCAGAAGCAGCAGAAGGCTTCCTTCTACCACCTACCCTCCTACCCACTACCACTCACGACGACCCATCCCTCCGCACAGTCGCATGACTTCGTGTGGTGCAGATGGCGTGTACGGCAGACACAGCGCGTGTGGTATATTATACCTCTCGAACAGTCGCATGCTTAACGGAAATGCACGCAAAAGCAAAGGAACGTTCATTCCTTCAGGCGTCCGTTTGGGGTTGCTTGGATAACGTAAACGCATATGCACGCAAGCACACGCACACGCACGAGGGGTCCACACGAGGGGGCATGATGGCGAAGCCGCGGCGAAAATGAGTGAGTAGGGGAGGGAGAGAGGAGAAGGGGCAAAAGGGGCGGCAAGGTGACGATGCCGAAAAGCACTGGACAGAGGCTTCGGCTCGTAATAGAGTGGTTCCAAATGAAGAAAGAAAATCCTTCACAAGCACCTTCACAAGCACCATACCTCAAATCTCAAGTACGGTGGCAGATCCGTGAACAGCTCTGCTTCGCCGTACTCCACGGACTGCTTCGCGATGTACAACTGCGCAAAGTACTCCTGCGGGTCAAAACAAAAATCGGAATCGAATCACCAGGTCGCAAACCAGGTTCGGATCCGAAAAGCAGTTCCAGATAGATCCAGATCTGGGGCCGCTCATGTGGGGATTCAATGGAATGTGTACTGCCGCCGTACACAAAGCACAAGAACAGCGAAAAAGCTCAAGACAAAACTGAATCGCGGACCTACCTACCTACCTGTATTTTCAGTTTTGTTGGCTCCTTGAGGCCGCAATTGGAGAGCCAGTTGTTGACGAGGCTGATCTTCTTGATGTGGTTCTGGAGCCTGGCGTCGTACATTTACAATGATGCATCCGTACACGTACACATCTCAGTAACCGTGTTATCTGGTAAGCACAAGAAAAAATACTTACAGCTGCTCGTCGAATACGTATATACAGACAGACAGACAGACAGACAGACACACACAGCAGGACAATTGAACTCCACATAAACACAATTCTCACAACCAGCTCTCCAATCCCCCCCCAGCGGTTCAGATCAGACCTGTTGGCTGAGGTGTCAGCTCTTGCAAGTGCATTCGCCACAGAGCCCACCAGGATGCCGAACGCAATCATGCCGCCCACCATCGCCATGCCGATAACCACCTGCTCCGCCCACCAGCGAGGGGAGAAGTCACCAAACCTGAATCCGATCATCGCCGGGAAGGGGCAGAAGCAGAGGGACAGATACGGCATTCCATGTCGGTCAGGAACCTGTTGCCTATCCTGCCGTTGCTTCTCTCCTCTCCCCCCCATTTCCTCGTTCGTGGTCCGTCTTTCCCCCCATCTCCTCCGCCGCCGCCTCCTCCCCTGCCTTTCTCCTCGTCATCTCATTTGGTGCCTTCCACGACCTTCCGCCCGCCCTACGCCGACCTCCGCACTCTCCCATCCGCACTCTCCCACTCCAATCCTACCCTCCCTCAAGCCCCCTCTGATATCAGCAGCACCACGCTGTGGTCCGTATTTCCCCTTGTGGGGCCCCCAATAGCTCTCACCCAGTGGTGGTGGTGGTGGTGACTACCTGAGAGGATTGGGGGGAGGGATGGTAGGTGGGGCGGAAGTAGGCAGGGGAGAACAACGAGGAAGAGGTGGGGGACGAAGGCGGGGGCGAGTGGGTGTGTGCGCACGTGTGTGTGGGTGTATGTGTTTTGCGCGGGTTTGCGAAGAGGGAAAACACGTAAATAACAGTGTGCTAAGTGGGCTCACGGGTAAGTGGTGGAAGGGACATCACAACTCCCTCCCCACTTCCCATTCTTAGGGCGAGTAAGGACGAAATTGACCACCCTGATGGTAACGATGCTGCAATTGCTTTGGGTGTTGATGTTGATGATGTTCTTGATTAATAATGATGATGATGATGATGATGATGATGATGATGATGATGGTGTTGATGATGATGGTGTTGATGATGATGGGAGGAGAGGGAGGAAATCGTTGGCCAACCGAAGGAGATTGCGGTGCAACAAGCAAGTACAAGACACCCCACCCTCCTCCCCCCAACACCCCACCCCACCCCACCCTCCTCCCCCCAACACCCCAACCCCACCCCACCCTCCTCCCCCCAACACACCCCAACCCCATCCCCCCCCACCCTCCCCCCCCCAACACCCCAACCCCATCCCACCCCACCTTCCCCCCCCCAACCCCCCAACCCCACCCCACCCCACCCTCCTCCCCCCAACACCCCAACCCCATCCCACCCACCTCCCCCCCAACCCCAAACCCCCCGGCCCCCACCCCACCCCGGCCCCCACGCACCCAGTACACGGCACAGTACCACTGGTAGAAGTTGCTCGAGTCCGCCACATCCGCCCAGGACACCGCCGTCATCCAGCTGTTCTCCAGGCCGTGCATGTAGGCCAGCAGCACCAGCACACAGGCGAACAGGTTGATGAGCACCAGGATCTGGAACCCCACCAGCGCCACGTACAGTGTGGAGACGCGGAGGTAGCGGGACAGCCAGCCTCTGGCGCCCAGAGTGGAGTCGATGTATATGATCTGGCGTGAGGGGTTCGGGGGGTGCGGGATGGGGTAGGGGGGGTAAGACGAACCACTGGCGGGGTGAGGGGAGGGATTTATTCATCGGGAGCCAGGGAAGCGACTGATGGCGTGGAGAGGGTTGAGGATGCAGGGGGGGGGGTTGAGGGTGAGGACCGATCTTCTGTGGCTAGCCATGGAGGGAGAGAGATGATAGAAGTTGATGGCATTAGATTGGATGAGAGAGGGCCGCGGCAGGTACGGTTACACAAGTGCCACATCATAGGCGACAGGGGGGAAATCACCGTCATCATCATTATCATCATCACCATCATCACCAACATCAACACCATCTTATATGTGGAGGAGCAGGCCATCATGCCGCCTTCTTTTCCTCATATTTATACATTAAAACGGGCCAAGCCAACATGAAACTAAGTCGAAAAAGTTGCATGAGGATTACATCACATTATCACCGTTACAAAGCCGCACGTCTCCATCATGGTGGGCCCCGGCCTTTTTGGTGTCGCACTGTGCTCCCCCCCCTCAGCTGTGGGGGCACGAGTCGTCCCCATTACCCACCCACCCATCCCCCCGCTCCCCCGCGCCGGATCAAGTCACGAGAGGACACCCAGCTAAGTTCACCCCCCACCCACCTTGGACACGCTGACCAGGCGCAGCAGCCGGATCAGTCGGATGAGGGACAGGGCGTTGACCCACTTGGCCTGGGGGGTGTATGGGGACACGTGGGAGCGCGGGTGGGAGAATGGGGGTGGGAGAATAAAGGTGGGTGGGAATCAGCATAGGTATGTGGGTAGGTCGCCCTCGTGCCCTTTTTATCACACACAGACGAAACCCTCATGCCTTGGGAAACGGACGTTCATATCCAAACCCGCCTATCCTACTCTGGGAGGAATGGACGAGCGGGTCGGGTTTCTTACCAGACCATCATTCATTACATGCACATATACAAATACACACACACACACACTTTCTTCCCCGAACTTCACTCGCCCCCTTACACACACATACGCACACCACCCTGCAAAACCTCTCTCCCCACCCGGGCCTCCACCTCTCACCCTGTAACCCTGCCCATCACTGAGCGCCAGCACCACCACCAGGTATACGAACGGTACGGTAGCCGCAAGGTCCAATAGAAACCTGCCGTGCATTATGTAGTACATGGCCACTCGGCGACCTGCGGGCGGCAAGACAGTAGCAACGACGGTAAAGCAGTAGCAAGGTATCCGCAACCAGCGGGGCAGTAGCAGTATTGCAGTAGCAACAGTGCTAGTATACCAGCCTAAGCAGCAACAAGGTAGGGGGGAGCTAGGTAGGGGGGGAGCTAGGTAGGGGGGGAGCTAGGTAGGGGGGGGACTAGGTAGGGGGGGAGCTAGGTAGGGCTCCACCAACTCTCACCAATCCGAATCACCAACCCACAGCAATTCCAGGCCCAATCCACCATAACCGCGAATGGCTACCCGGAAGAGATCCCACTCCGCCCACCCGCACATACATACACACACACGCAGAACCTCATCGCCGCCCATTCACTGCCTACTCCGACATCTCCTTTCCTTTCTCCCTTCCCTTCTTCCTCTCTCTCCTAAGTTAGGACCCTCTCCTAAGTTAGGACCGGGGCGCGCCGTAGATGTGTGCCCCTGTGTGTGCCCCTGTGTGTGTGTGTGGCCTTTGCAGCTGCTCTCTGCAGTTGCCCTCGTACATGTCCCGAACAACACCTGCTACCTTCCCCCCTACGCACCTACGCACTGCCCTTCCCCCCCGCCCCCGCTGCACCCACCGTCTTGCACAGCCTTCTTCCTGTGACCGTTCACCACCAGCATCCCCAGGTTGAACGAAATGAACAGGTTGAGGGTGTAGATGATGCCTGAGAGGGTGGGATGAGGGATATCGGGAACGGTGCAAGAGAGTGCGACGGGAAGGTGTTGGGGAGCGTGTGAATGCGGAGAGAGAGGCCGTGTGTTTGAAACCCTAAAACCATTAATCCCATAATCCCAGTCCCACCTTACTTTTGCATGCAACGGCTCCCAACCCCACATCGCACCGGGGCTGTCCCGGGCTGTCCCACCGTATTACCTACCGCCCTCCTAACTCTTACCAAACGTCAGATCTGTCGCCGTACAGGAGCTGTGCAGTTGCCCGTAGTTCACGGAGCAGAAGGCCACGTTGATGGGCACGCCGAACGCCGTCCACATCAGGTCCACCAGGGACATGAGCAAGGTCCAGGCCAGGGCGGGGGGGCTGAAGGGGGGAATCACGGGAAGACCGTAGATAGACCTGCAGGCAGACAGACAGACATACAGACAAACAGGCGAGCACCAGTACACACACCGATACGACATCCACATGCAAGTAAGCGGGTGGTATAGGGGTTTTCGGAAGGGGTGTGGTGTAGGCGTGGTGTAGGCGCGGACCCCCTGCGGGGTGAAGGAAAAGCTGTTGTGCTGTGCTATGCTGGGTGAGAGCGAGGGCGTATTAGGCGTCTTAGGCGTGTGGGTGTGGGTGTGAGTGTGAGTGCCACTTGCGGACTTCAAAGGATCAGCTGATGATGCCCATAGCACCAAGTCGGGAGTCGGGAGGGGATCAAACGGGGCACCGTGGCCAGGGACCAGCTTGGAACAACAGCCAAATGGAGTGAAAAAGTCAGGAATCTGCAAAACGCGACATCCTCCGCAGACGACCCAAATCGGATCGAAGGAATGACGTTCTAGTAGTTCGTTCGGCATAGCAGGAGGCGCCGCTTCCGAGGGCACCCGCGGCCAACCCCCCTTTTCCCCTGCAACACACCTTCGCAGCGTCCTTTCGCCCTCTGGTCTACGCTTATTGAGCCAACACACGTAGGCGTCAAAGTCCTCACGACCCAATTCCACGCTGGGTACGACCAGGCGGAAGATGCCGTATTCTGTCCGTACAGTACACAGACAATGTGCGGTAAAGGATTAAGGATATGGGGTTGTGTGTGTGTGTGTGCGTGAGAATGTGTGTTTGTTAGGGGAAGAGGAGCGTGGGGAGGACCAAGGGCAGAGGAGCGACGGTGGCGGAGGAGATTTGGACTATCTCTGCGGGTTGAAGAAGAAGAAGAACTACCGATAGAAGTTCTCGCCATACGCAGACATAATAAGTTCATTTTATTTTGTCCGTGCAACCAGCTTGGGAATTCTTACCTGATTTTTTGGATTACGTGCATTGGGTGACTACCGTACTGCTGATCCCGATCGACAAGATACAGGTACGTCCCACGCACCTTCCTCCTTAAGCAGCTCCGCCACCGTCTGCTTAAAGTCGCTGGGCACGACGTCCCCCTCTTGAACGTAAACATTCCTTTTGTTGAGGGCTTCGGCTTGTCGTCCAAACGCGTCTTTGGGGTCGTGGGCAAATCGACCGAGGGGCCGCTGGGATGGATTTGACTCCCTTGCCAACGGCGCGTTCTGACTTTGGAGCTCGATTTGTGGGGTTTCGACTGTAAGAGTTTGGCGTTCATAATCCACCTCCTCGACAGTTTGCAGCTCCCGGGGACCCTGCCGCAGACACCAAAAAGTTCGTGGGTAGATAGACAAAACTCTGTGTCAGACTGGAATTCCGAAAAGGTACGAAACTCTACCACGTAACACGCAGAACAATTTCTTTCTTCTGCACCTTCGCGGCTGGCTTGACGGGTTGACCCTGCCATCCTCGCAGAAAGGCGAAATGCGGCATCGTCGTTTACAGCATCGCTGCATTATCTGCTCACAGAGTTAGTCATACTGCATACGCAATTGACTGAAAAGCACCGGGATACGGGTCCTATACGACAAGGGTTATCACCACCATTTCGACAGGAAGCTAAGTTGTGCATTCGTTATGCCGCCCAGGACTGAACGTGGAGCAAATTACCGAAGTAAACAAGGTCCACGAGATGTCACGCACGGGATGCAATGTACTTGGCCTGTTGACGGTCAACTCTCGGCGACACGACTGTCGTCATACAAATGTCGCGTACCTGGCAAAAGCTTAGTTCCGGACTTTAGGAAAATCAAACCGGATGCGCTTTTTGTTTAGGACAGCAGAGGTCACAGGCATAGATATCCAAAAAATTCGCGGTCAGTGCTAGTCGTAAACGAACTTCTCCGCTTGGAAATGCTGAAAGCCCAATTCATTAGAGCTTATAGCCCGTGCCAGCTTCAAACAGGTGGCCGTGCTCGGCTTGCACGGCCGACGCTCAGCCATCCACGCATCGTCCGTCGCCTTGCGCAGCCCAGCGAACCAGGCACAGGTGCAAGCATACCAGAGGATGACGATCTTCCACCTGAGCTTCGAGGTACAACACGCTGCCAGCCGCATACCTGCTTTCCAAAATGGCCTGTAGCCTCGCGTAGCCTCACAAGGGTCAGCCCCCTGCGCCCCTCTTCCTGTCCGTCCGGCCGCAACTGCTTTTACAGCGGTCCTTCTCAAGATGACCCTTCAAATAACTTACCGTTAATAGCGTGCCGCAGCGTTTGCACCCTTGCTCGTCGCATTCCACCCTTGAGCTCCTGGCTGGCAGCTCCGTCACCCATCCCCAGCACATACCTTCGGTGTTGGACATAGCTCACAACCCTGAGGTTGTTTCACAGCCTTCACACGGGCCATAACCTCCCCGCAACCGCCGCTTTCCTCTAGTGACCCATTTCCCGGCGGAATGTTGCCATGTAGGCCCCCTATCACTTCACGTCGTGCGTGTAAACGGTTGCTCCCCCCAACCTCATCACCATTCACCAAGCCACCTCTTAACCCTAAACCCATATCCTCACAATTCCTTGTCTGTGGTACGGCTGGTGTACGGCTCCCTTCCAGACCTCCAGATCAACGAAGATGGGTTCCTGATAGACACGAAGACGGGCAAGGTGATCAACGAAATGGGCGCCACGCGGTTCGATGTGGCGGTGAGGGCTCTCCGGGGAGAGCTGGACCCGCCGAACTGGGTGGAGGTGAGCGGGGCCGGAGGAGAGGAGGATCATTGTTGCTCAATGCTGGGCTTTAATGACCCAACTGGGAGCGGGGGAAGGGCGCGTTGGCTACTAAAGGTACTTCAATTAGGCGGCCGGGCTAGCGCTGTGGATGGGTGCGGGGTGCGGGACTGGTAGTTGCAGATTAGCTGCCTTTTACCTATGCCTATGCCTATGCCTATGCCTATCTGCCTTCCTACCCACCACACCAGAGAGGGCCCTTTCTCGTGCTTTCTACCTTTCCCGTTCGTGATTCAAATCCTGGACACACCACCCC